CATACTATGTTTCAAAATTTGCATCCGACCTTATTGCTATTTCGTTTAATGCAGTTAACGATGTCCATTTATTATATTTCTTATTTAAATGTTTGACAAGTGGGTGTTCTTGAAATGCTTGATGAGTGATGAGTTACTACTAATTTTTTATTTTTTTGCCTTTTTTTTTGTGGGATGATTATGTAGATTGATGTGCTCGACGAATTAAACGAAGAACCCTCAGAACATATGGAAGATGATGACACAAAGCCTGTTGACTATAACATAAAAAATATGGAGGCAACCTCAAAGAACCATAAACCTGATCAAAAGCCCGACATTAAGGATGTCCCAGAGGAAGAAAACCAGGTGAGAGCCTATGCACATTTTCTCCTCATTTTTGCTCTTATTTTTCATCACGCTTTATAAGCTCCTTACATAATTGACATAATCGCATTTACTTTGAACAGCCGATAAATTTTCATTAGATTGAGAAGGTAAAAAGGTTTGCGATTAATTCAACTATTTGCATTCAGGGTATGAAGAAAAATCATGTTGAACGGCAAGATCTGAATGTAGTAAGCACGCTCGACTTGAGTTTGGGTTTCAACGATCAAGATGGCGAAGAAAATGATTCTGACTCGAAAGCAGATCTAAATTGAAAGACAGTTTACATTACGGAGACATATTTAGTTGCTCGACGAAGGAAAAAAGCATGGGAAAATTCAAATGGGTTACATTGGCCGTAATTTTTAGCTTCATTAACGAATCGTATTATTCTAGTGACAGCAATTTGTGTGGTTCGATTTATTGGCCTCTCTTGTTTATGAAATAACTATGTGTTCTTACGCTGTGAAGGCTGATATTGTTGTAATGAGATTTATTATGTACCAGCTCAAAATTCTCGGCATACGAGTGTACGTTTTCCCCCCTTTTTTTATTTGAAGTAATTTTCTCCTTCAGTTGATCTAAAAGATGTCTTTTTTTCACAAAATGTTTAGACATCTGCTGGTAGTAAAATACTAAGTCAAATGATTACAGGTTAAATACTCCAACAAAAGCATCAAATATATAGGATACACAGCGGTAACAATAACATAACTATGATAAAGAAACAGAGACGTTTTTAACATAACTATGAACATTTTCACATTGCTGTGAGGAATCTGACAAATGTTGAACAGATTTCGAAAGTATTTTTCTCTGATTGTCCGGGAAACTATTTTCAATGCATACGCCGAAACTATTATACAGGAAAAACGAGAAAAAGGATAGGAAAAAGCAAAAAAGGCAGAAGAAGAAAATATGTGCTATAATCATTCTTTGGCTTCAACAGTTTGCTCCTCATTGAAATAATCGTGCCTGTAATCACATTGAAAGCTTAATATAAACAGAGTGTCTCATGCTACAAAATACGACATCATTCATTGAAGGAAAACAACTTATTTTGTGACTAACCGGATTTTACGTGCAAGCTGGTAAATGCCCGTGCCAGCCATCACAATGTTTACACTAAAAAGATTCCAGTTTTTCTGCAAGCCCATCATCACACGTTATTTTTCCGAGATTGAATAGGAGAATTGTTTTACAAGGTACAGCTTCGTAAAACCAGAAACAAGTGAATAATAAAAGACAACCACACAAGATTCGGGCTATTTACGAAGGCTATGCTAGTTGATAGCTTATAAGTGATTTTCGAACTTATAGTTTATAACTCATGACATATAGCTAAAAGCTAGCTTATATAATAAAAATGTTTGGTAAAATTAACTGATAAGCTAGTTGAATTAAAAAATTTAACAAGCTTATTTGAAAAGCTACCTAAAGAAGCTTATGAGATAAGCTCAACGTTTTTTAATAAGTTCGTCCTACCAAACAAATCTTACTTGAACACAAAATACTTATAAGCTAATAACCAAACAAGCTATAAACTAGCTTACTTGGTTACCAAACATAGCCGAAAACAATCTAAGCATCTTTCAAAATCACAAATATCCCCTCATAATTGTTACACTAAACCCCGCTTGAGGTGTTTGTATGTACTCCATCAATACCAACCAGAGGTTCGAAAAACACATAAAATTGGGTCTTTCAGCGATTTAGGCTAATGTCGAAAGTAGTTTTCAGTAAATAGCCGAAAATCTAATACAAAGAGCAAAAAAATGGGATAATACTTCATGGGACCAATCAACACATAGCCAAAAGAGGACCAAGAAAAAAAAATCAATGACGAGCTTCACATATTAAATAGAAAACTGATCTTACAGGGGTAATAACAGTGCTATAACGGGACCATATTACTCCAGTTGCTGTAACAGCTGCACAGAAAATTAAAAAAA